TAGTCAAATCACATCAGGAAACCAGACCTGCAGACTTAGCTATCAGACACACGACAACATGACACAGTGAGACTCTGCTTGGAAGGAAGGAAGGAAGGAAGGAAGGAAGGAAGGGACGGAGGGACGGAGGGAGGGAGGGAGGGAGGGAGGGAGGGAGGGAGGAAGGAAGGAAGGAAGGAAGGAAGGAAGGAAGGATATGGGAGATGGGAGCTCAGGGACAACGATGAACTCTTTCTGGAAACCACTTTCTCCATGTGCTTGTCGTCTACAGCATCAAGGCCTGGGTGAGTACAATCCAACTCATCACGTTCCACTCGGAAAGAAAACCCTCAGCCGGGCGTTGGTGGCGCACGCCTTTAATCCCAGCACTCGGGAGGCAGAGGCAGATGGATCTCTGTGAGTTCGAGGCCAGCCTGGTCTACAGAGCGAGTTCCAGGACAACCTCCAAAGCCACAGAGAAACCCTGTCTCGAAAAAACCAAAAAAAAAAAAAAAAAAAGAAAACCTTCAAGGGCTGGGCAGTGGTGGCACATGCCTTTAATCCCAGCACTTGGAGGCAGAGGCAGGAGGATCTCTGAGTTTAAGACCAACTTGGTCTACAGAGTGAATTTCAGGACAACCTGGACTGCACAGAGGAACCCTGTCTCAAAATATTTTTTTCTTGGGACTGGGGAAATGGTTTATTCAGTGGCTAAGAAGACTGTCTGCTATTCCAGAGGACCCAGGTTCTGTTCCCAGCACCCAAGTAGTTGGTGGCTCACAACTCTTTGTAATGCCAGTTCCAGAGACCAGATACCTTTATCTGATTTCTACAGGTACTAGGCACGCACATGTTGGACGCACATACATGCAGCAAAATACTCTTGTGTGTCAAATAAAATAAATAAACCTAAAAATAATTTCTAAGGCCATGCTTATTGTGTGTCCTTGATGCTCCCCAGCCTTTCATTTCTGCCTTTTAGAGCCAAGATAAAAAGCCTTAGATGACTACACCAATTTATCGGTGTTATGAATTTCCTGACTGGAAATGTTTTCCATTGGTGTAATCCTCTAATTTCTACTTTCATTTCATCTATGGGAATGAAAGGCCAATTGATCAAGGTTAAGTGCTATGTGTATATTTCTGATAATTCTATTAATAGCATATGTATCTTCTTTACATGATCTACTAAGATAGACTCAAACATACGTCAGCCTCCACGCTCGCTTTCTGGTGAGCAGCTTTGGGACTGGGTCTCGGCATTACACCTGTTACAGTCTTAGCATGGGCTCCTTTTAGCCTTTGGACCTGTGTGTTTCACCGACGTCTCAATTTTATCTCTTCTCATTTGTGGTCAATCTTTAGCTGGAATACCAGAGATCAGAAGTCACATTGCTTGTCATCACAAATGCCAGTGAGCGCCAACAGGAAGTGATTCTTTAGTGTGCACTTTATCGCTGTGAAGGCAGCAGATTAACATCCTAGAGATAAGGTTTGTATCTCCTCTCTGGGCAGCAGAGTATCTTGGGCATGGAAATTGAGGCAGTTAATCATTCCAAAGGTTGTTCCTCTGGTCAAGGCGTTCAGCCTTGTCTCCAGGAGTCATCCTGTTGGTGTGCCTCTATCCCCTGCCTTCTTCACTGTGTCTTAGTTCTGTGGGTTTGCATAGGCACAAGGCTGCTGGACTTTGCTTTCCTCCTGCAGCATTCCCTGGGCTAAAGAAAGGTTAATTTAGGACAAGTCAGACGCAGTGTGTCATGGTTGGACAACTTACTGTGTGCATGTGCAGATTCTCTTGTACAACACAAAGCACATGTAAGGTGGAGTATTAAACTGAGGGCAGAACTACTCCCTTCTCCCACTCAGAGGTTCTTTCTCATTTTCCCCTAATTTATATTCATTCTGAAAAGTTCTGCACCTGATAAGCACCTCCACTGATGCAGCGACCCAAATCAGACCAAATCAAACCGAATTAGAAAAAGCCCATGTTTAGCCAGGCAGTGGTGGTACACACCTTTACACCTTTAATCCCAGCACTCGGGAGACAGAGACAGGCAGATCTCTGTGAGTTCGAGGCCAGCCTGGTCTACAAGAGCTAGTTCCAGGACAGCCTCCAAAGCTACAGAGAAACTCTGTCTTGAAAAACCAAAAAAAAGAAAAAAAAAGAAAAAAAAAAGAAAGAAGTCCCATGTTTAATGGATACAACACTTCTGGGGGGCAGTTTAAATACTCGTGGGAGTGGTCTTGAGCATCTCTGGGGGAGGTGTCATCATTTGGCGGGCTTTCTGAGATGCAGCAGGGTTTGGAGGGAGATAGGGGAGGGGGCTTGGGTGGAACCTCCACCAGAGCATTCCAGGCTCTTTGGGTTTATGGATGCCAGGGGCTGGGGTGAAGCTTCCACCATAACACATTCTGGAAAAAAAAGTTTCCCTCCCCATCCCTCTTGTCCCTCATCATTTCCCGCTGTTAGTCATAACTCATCTGTAAGATCTGTACCACATAAATGGCATCTCCTGCCATTCATTCGGTTGGTTGCTAGCATGGTTTCACAAGCAAAACCTCCTCTTTCTTTCTTCGTGTGCCGATTAATTGAGCTGGTCCTACTCAGGCCTCACCAGTTCTTGTTGGTAGAATGCAGGCAAACAGACGCCCTTTGTGGCTTGGTTCTTCCACTTCCCAGGGGACTTCAGCCACCCCCAGTGGTTAGGGTTAACCATGCTGGGGTTCTCAGCTCCCTGCTGTTGAGAGGCTTCAGTTAGATGCTGCTCACAGGGTTCCTTTACTCTTCTGCTGTCCCACAAATTTTCACCGTGTTTCTTTCTGTTTTTTCTTTTCTTGTTTTTTTTTTTTTGTTTGTTTTTTTCAAGACAGGGTTTCTCTGTGTAGCCCTGGCCATTCTGTAACTCACTCTGTAGATCAGGCTGGCCTTGAACTCACAGAGATCTGCCTTGTCTCTGCCTCCCAAGTGCTGGGACTAAAGGTGTGCTCCACCAACACCCAGGCCAAACAGTTTTAAATAAACCTCCAGGTCAATTTCCCCGAGTACTCAATGATCTCACATGAGTGAGCTTCAGAGGGATCATACCTGGGTCTGTCACTGCTCACTCTGGGGAACCAGGGTTTTGATTGGGCTTCCTTACAGAGCATGGTTAAGGGGTCACTTAGTGGAGTTTGGTTGCTCCCATCCGAAAGTCTGCACAGGAAAGCCTTAACCCACGGGAATGATGGCTTCCCCACGGATGAACAGATAGAGTCCCCCACCTCCCCTAGTCATTCCCTAGCTCGATCCTCTAACCCCTCCAGCCCAGACCCTGAAGACCCATGCAATAAGGACAGAATTGCACATAGACGGTTGGGAGGGGTGGCTGGGTACTGTGGTGAGGGTCTCATGCCCCTTTCTACCTGCCTGCCTCTCTGAGGGAAGGCAAACTAGCAGATCTTTTCGAAGCAGGCTCGAAGATGGTGGCAGTTGGCTCAGAGGAGAGTCCTGCGCGCAGCAGGTCCTGGTGGTGGTAGCCTTTGGGGTCTAAGGTCCTGAGAGTTGGGCACTGCGTCACAGCCTCCTCTGTCTGCCACCCAGGTCTGGGGGCAAAACACTGGATGCTTGCCAAGCAGATTGACAAGGGGAGACGCCACACTGAGTGAGCGGCCGCTGTTGGAGGGGAGCACCAGGGGTGACACCTGGAGGCTCTGGAGCCAGAGCCACAGCAGGACCAAGCTCTGGGCACAAGGAGTCTCTGCTGTCATCTTGGCAGGGACACCAGCTCGGCTGATGGAGACCCCTGTACTTGCTGCTTCCTGCTGTCTTGTGGCTGAGAGGTGGTTCCTGGACAAAGCGCAGGGCTAAGCCCTGTCTAACGGTACTTGGCCTTCCTGGTGGGGGTGCTGGGCATGCTGGAGAGGGAGTCTCCACACAGGAGCAAGTACTGCCACCACCTGGTAGGTTACTGCCATCCCTTCCTACCTGCTGTGCCAGCTGGAGCCTAGGGTAGTCTGGCCTCCAGAGGCAGGTGGATTTTTGTGAATTCCAGGCCAGTCCAGGATAGCCAGGACTGCAGGGAAACCCTATCTCAGAGGATTAAAAAACAAAACAAAACAAAAAAAATCACACACACCAAATAAAAAACAAACAACTCTTTTTTTTTTACAACCAACTCTTGAAAATTGTTCCCTAACATCCACACACAATAAACAAACAAACAAAGACCTTGTTAAAGGTTCACCTCTTTGGGCTGGAGAAATGGCTCAGCAGCTAAGCATCTTGCTCTTAGCACCCACAGGGTAGTTCTGAACCGCCTGTAACCTCTTCCAGAAGATATGGCGCCCTCTCTGGCCTTTCGCAGGCACTGCACCCAAGACCTATATGTTTGAGCAAAAACATTCATACGAATAAAATAAGAATACATTTTTTTTATTTCCCTTCAGAGCTGAAGACAGAACCCTGGCCTTGTGTTTGGCATGCAATCTCGACCACTCAGCTAAATCGCCAACCATGAAAATAAATAAATCTTAAAACAAACCAGCCGGACGTTGGTGGTGAATGCCTTTAATCCCAGCACTCGGGAGGCAGAGGCAGGTGGATCTCTGTGAGTTCGAGGCCAGCCTGGTCTACAGAGTGAGTTCCAGGACAGACCACAAAGCAATACAGATAAACCCTGTCTCGAAAAAAAAAAAAAGCCACCTCTGGCTGGGGATGTAACTTAGTACCTACCATTCATGAATTCATGAGACCTCCGGTGATTCTGACTGAACTGGTCAGGAAAATTCAAAGTGCTAGCTTGTCAAATGGGCAATGGTGGCTCACATCTGTCATGTCAGCAATCTGCCATGAGTTCTAGGCCAGCCTATGATAAAGAGCTAAACGCTGTCTCAATAAAAACAAAAACGAAAACAAAAAAACCCGGGAAGTGCCTCCTTGATCTGCACATGAAAACCGGGCTCTCCTGTGAAGCTATGCCGCCGGCGACCTCAAGGGGCCGCTGCGGCGAGGCAGAGGCCTGCAGGGCTTGGGGGCGTGGCCCCTCCGCTCTATCTCGCGCCGTGAGAGTGCGGGGCCGGTGCGCATGCGCGTCGCCTGCTCTCCCGCGGGGTCTGCTGGGCACCAGGGACATCTGTGGCGAAACCAAGAGGAGAGCGCCGCCGGGGACATGTGGCGGCCGGTGAGGACCCCGCCCCCGCACGCCCTGGACCCGGGCCCTGACTCTGTGGCCCCTGCGTTGGGTCTAACTCGGTACCCCGAGATCTGGACCCAACCCAGGCCCGGGTCCTACCTATCGACCCCGAAACTCCGAAGAACCCTCAGGTCCTCGGCCTCCCTATGCTCCCCAGACCCCGCCCAAGGAAGCCTCACTCAGCAACACTTTACCTTTACCCCAGGGGTCCGCTCCCTCCTGCCCTTGCCCGTAGCACACCCCCTCCGGGTCTCCAAGGGGAGCTGCTCTGTTCCCTCTACCTGCTTGGGGGGAGGGAGACACCCCACGACGTCCGCTGGGTTAGGCTTGCCCTCGCTTTCTTGCCCCCCACCCCTCCCCCGTTCTGGCACTGGAGATGTTCTCGCCTCTCCCCTGTCCTTGGAGTATGACCCTTTCTGCAGTTGTGTTGTTTTTAAACGTGGACTTCTCCGAAGTTGATGTTCTAGTACATCTGGCCTTGTAGATTATACTGATAGGCACGGAGTTGGGTAAACTTTTGGCTTGCAGTGAGCTGCCCTGCTGTGGGTGTGCTCTCTGATGGAGAAACTTGTGCTGGCCTTTAACACAGCTCTTTACGATCGCGAAACTTCTCCACACAACGTATTACATATCACTTAGTCCTCCAGACTGCTCTAGGGACTGGAAGGGCAAGTTTTGTTTGTTTATTGAGACAGTTTCTCTTTGTATCCCTGGGTCGTGGAACTCGCTCTGTAGACCAGGCTGGCCTTGAACTCACAGAGATCCACCTGCCTGTGCTTCCCGAGTGCTTGGATCAAAGGTGTGCTCCACCACTGCTGGGCTGGAAAGGCAAATTTTAACTTCTGAGTAGTGATGCTGCCCAGTGCAGATGAGCCCTTGCAGTTACTGTTTCGGAATGGTATTTCTTTTAACAACACCCACTCCTCCTTAATCTGTCCCCTCCCAACGTTGGAAAATGTCCCTTCCTGCTGAGGTGTACTGGGCTATCTGTCCTGTTAAACAGTCTGGTCACCTTTTTGGGGAGGGTCTGCCCTGAGTCTTGGCAGCTACTTCCTGTTATGTGCAGGCTATCTTATAGACATCTTTCATCTTCCTCTAATCCAGTGAGTCTGACTGTAGGTTCTCCTTAGAGTGTGAGTTTTACTGCTTCATGCAGGCACCGGAAAAGAACTCTGATTGAATGTCTCTGCAGACAGATCATCTACACATTCCCTGTAAAAAGCATGAGAACTGCCAGACAGGCTGGCACAGCACTTGCGAGGCAGAGGCAGGAGGATTTCTGAGTTCAAGGCTGTTCTGATCTACATAGTGAGTTCCAAGCCACATAGCAACCAAGCGGCGTGAGGACCAGGTGCAGGGAGCCTATGGCACTCTGTCCACGCTGGAAAGGGTGAAGGAGCTATGTGGCAGTTGTAGGTCAGCGTCACCACAGGTTGTTCTGTGGACCTGCTCAAAGGGGATTGTTCTGGTGGGAGAGAATGTACTGACATCCTCTGTCTGCTTGCCAGCAGTGTGGTGGTCATGTTCTGAGCTACTGCTGCCAGCAGAGCTGTGGACATCACAGGGACCTGGAGAGGGGGGTCATGGTGGACAGAGACATAAGACTCTGGGATCACTTCAAGAATAAAGTTTTTGCTGAGCTATGGTGGCACATGCCTTTAATCCCAGCACTTGGGAGTTCGAGGCCAGCCTGGTCTACAGAGCCAGTGCCAGGACAGCCTCCAAAGCTACATAGAGAAACCCTGTCTCAAAAAAAGGAAAACAAAAAAAAGTTTTTGCTTTCCCACAGCTGTTGATATAGTGTTTAGCTTGATAGCGCTCTGGGCAGAGCTTGAGCAAACAGCGTCTTTAACCCTCTTATCTGAGTCCTTCCTGCTGCACTTCCCTGCCCCTGTGGCCTTGCCTTGCCCCACAGGAAAGTCCTCATTGACCTCACCTGCAGTTTCCCCCACAGCCATGGGGCTGCATGTGGGTCAGGGTTTGGTTTGAGAAGGGACCACAGACCATCTGGGCCACAACCCTGGACCGCTCTTGTTTGGGATTTGTTTGGATTTTGGCAGGTCTGGCTGTAGGTTTGATACCCCCACCCCCGTGCCGTGCCTTTTGGGGCCTGAGATTTCTTTCTCATTTGGTGGGGGTTTCAGAAGATAGTTTAATGGGTGCTGGGTAGCCTGTCTCAGAAGGACTCAGGTTTGGTAGCTCTGGGGTTTTCAGCACAAGGCTTTATCTGCTTGACATCATGAGTGGCATCTCCTACCTGTGACCTTTTGTTGCGGATGCATCCTGGTGAGGCACCACAGGCACCTCCTAAAAGAATCTTTGTTCCACATCCTGAGTGGGGAAGGTTAAGAGGCAGCAGAGCCCTTCAGTTGCCGTGCGAATCCTAAGAGGCTATAGGGGAGGCGGAGGGGAATGGGCTCCTGGCCTTGCCCGCAAGAGCAGTTAGCATCAGGCTGGCCGTGGGGAGGAGGTGGTAGTCAGTCATTGGGAGCTGGAGTCACAGTATCATCAACATCAGCATGACTCTTTAGTGGCTTATCTGAGTCCTGAGTGTGTCCGTCTCCCCAGCCATTGCAGAGGCCCCTTCTGGGGCATACTGGGTAGACTGACCTGGCCAGCCTTGTCCCCTCTGCAGTATGCCTTCAGTATGAGGTTGCCATCTAGACACTATATTGTTCCTACATGACCCGAAAACCCAAGGTACTGTGGACAGCTGGTGCTGGCCTGAGGCAGCACAGGTCTCCCTCGTTGGAGATGAGCTATCCTGAGACTCTTCTCAGTCTCCCTGAAGGACTTTCGACCTTTTTGTTTTGGGTCATGAACAGTGAGCACTCTCAGCTTGGAGCTCTGGGCTGCCTCCTTTAAGTCAGCATGGGGCCATACGCAGGCCCTTCCCACTCAGCCTTGGTGTAAGACTGGGGTTCATGCTGGCTTCAGCCTATGATTCTGGGCAGGGTTTTGTGAGCCCTAACTCTGTACAGCACAGTAGCCTGCCTTACTGTCTTGGCTTCCGGTCTGTTGGCTAGAGCGTTTGTGCATCCTCTTCTGAGCCGTAGGTCTCAAGTAATGGAGATCCAACCTCCCCAGTCATCCCATGCTGCTCTGTTCTCAGCTTGACACGCCTGCCTGCTCAGTGGCCCCTGGACATCTCAGCCAGTCCTCGCCTGCCCTTTTGTCCCAGTTAGAGGAAGTCTTTCTGCGTTCTCAGGGTGTAACCTGTCTGCATGTGTTGAAAATGATCTGATTTCGCTTCTGAGAGAAGTAAACTAGTTTTGGGTTTTTTGTTTGCTTGTATTTTGTTTTGTTTTGTCTTGTTTTCATTTTAAAAGCAGTGGAAGGGGGCTGGAGAGATGGTACAGCAGTCTCGAAAGGAAGGAAGGAAGGAAGGAAGGAAGGAAGGAAGGAAGGAAGGAAGGAAGAGTGGGGTGGGGTGGGGTGGGGTGGGGTGGTGGCGCACGCCTTTCATCCCAGCACTCGGGAGGCGGAGGCAGAGGACTCTGAGTTCGAGGCCAGCCTGGTCTACAGTGAGCTCTGGATCGGCCAGGGCCACCCGGAGAAACTCTTTTGAAAACACGGAACCATGGGGTTGGGGATTTAGCTCAGTGGTAGAATGCTTGGCTAGCAAGCTTAAGGCCCTGGTTTCAGTCCTCAGCTCTTAAAAAAATGTAGAAGAGGAATAAGAAAGAAGAGCAGTGGGAAACTGACACCCAGTAAACAATTCAGTCTGGAAAGTAGAGTGAGGGCTGTCTGTGTTAGACGGGGAGAGCTGAGGACGCTGGATGCCAGCAGGGACTGGCATAGGGCAGAGCCTTGGAGTGCCGTGTGGGAATCCTTGATCCCAGTGTGGCCTTGGAGTGCCGTGTGGGAATCCTTGATCCCAGTGTGGCCTTGGAGTGCCGTGTGGGAATCCTTGATCCCAGTGTGGCCTTGGTGCTCGCCTGCTGGACACGTACTCACAGTGTTTGGTATGTTGGACAGTGCTCCAAGGGCTTGCACATCGTTTTGTGAGTTTAATTCTCCTTTTCTCTTCTTCCTCTTCTGCCTGCATGTATGCCCATAGGCCAGAAGAGGGCACCAGATCTCATTACAGATGGTTGTGAGCCACTATGTAGTTGCTGGGACTTGAACTCAACACCTTTAGAAGAGCAGCCAGTGCTCTTAACCACTGCGCCATCTCTCCAGCTCCCTAATTAACTCTTTAATCAGGCAATGATTTATACTTTTCAAAGCAAGAAACTGAGGCTTATTGAAAAAACCGAAGTGCCATAGCCAAGGGCCTATCCAGAGTGACCCAGGGGCTTCATTTTCTCTGCTTGTGTGAGTAGCATCTCTAACCTGGTCCTTAAAACCCCCTTATTCCATGACAGCCTAGGCTACAGCGAGACCCTGTCTCAATAAAACAAAACAAAAACCAAAAAAGCACAATTTCCCCAAGTGAAGCCATAGTAAGAGTTTCCATCGAATGCTAGTATCCCGGGCACAGAATCATCTCAAATCAGCATCCCTGCCCTAAAATAGCCCTCGTTTACAGAATGCTGCCTCCTTCCCTGGGGTCTTGTTGTTAGAGAAAGCCTTTTGTAGCTTGTTTTCCCTTTGTACGACTGGACACTGAACCAGGCTTTGTGCATGCTAGCCCCCCCCCCCTTTTTTTTCTTTTATTTTGAGACAGGGTTACCTGTATACACCAGGCTGGCTTCAAACTCACTCACTGTACTGTGTAGCTCAGACTGGCCCTCCAACATTCCCTGTCCTCGGCCCACTAGGTATTAGGGTTATAGGTGATTGCCGCCATGCTCAGAATTTTAGGTTTTTGTTTTTGTTTTTTTGCATAACAGTTAGCACCTTTTTGTTTTGTTTGTTCTGTTTCTCAAGACAAGGTTTCTCTATGTAACATCCCTGGTTGTGCTGGAAATCACTTTGTAGATCAGACCGGCCTTGAACTCACAGAGATCCACCTTCCTCTGCCTCCCAAATCCTGGGACTAACGTTATCTTTGTATCTTTTTATTTTATTTTATTTATTACTTACTTACTTAAGTAAGTAAGAGACAGGGTTTCTTTGTGTAGTCCTGGCTGTCCTGGAACTCTCTTCAGACTGGCCTTGAACTCACAGAGATCCGCCTGTCTCTGCCTCCTGAGTGCTGGGATTAAAGGTGTACGCCACCACTGTCTGCCTTTGTATCTTTTCAAAAATGTTTTATAACCAGGTGTGGTGATGGATGCATACCTTTTTTTAAAGTTTCTTTTTGTTTGTTTGTTTTTTGAGACAGGGTTTCTCTGTATTGTTTTGGAGCCTGGCCTGGAACTCCCTCTGTAGACCAGGCTGGCCTCAAACTCACAGAGATCCGCCTGTCTCTGCTTCCCGAGTGCTGGGATTAAAGGTGTACACCACCAACGCCCAGCAAAAGATATTTTTTTATGAATTAAAATTTTCATTTAAACAATTATGTGTAGGTGTTTGTGTGTTTGCATGGGGTATGTGTGCATGAATGCTAGTGTCCGAGGAGTTCAGAGGCATGGGATATCCTGGAGCTGGAGGTAGAGCAGCTGTGAGCTGCCCTTCAGGTTCCGAGAACTAAGCTCTGGGCCTCTGGAAGAGCAGGAAGTGCTCTAAACCACTGAGCATCTCTCCAGCCTCATGCTCTCCATTAGTTCCAGCACTTGGAAAGCAGAGACACAGGTGTATTTTGTGAGTTTGAGGCCAGCCTGGTCTATGTATTGAGCTCCAGGCCAGCCAAGAATACATGATGTGATATTATCTCAAGTAATAATGATGATGATGTTTTATTAGTATATATTAATTATACATAATAGTTTCTTCTTAAAAGTTTAAAAATTTATTTTATGTGTATGGGCGTTTTGTTTGCATGCCTGTGTACTGCATATGTGCCTGGTTCCTGTGGAGGCCAGAAGAGAGCAACAGATCCCAGATACTGCAGTTTTAGATGGTTGTGAACTGTCCTCTGCATACTGGGATTCAAACCCCACTCCTCTGGACAAGCAGCCAGTGCTCTTAACCACTGAGCCATCTCTCCAGACTCCAGCCCTTTCTTTGAAGCAGGGACTTATTGTGTCGCCCTGACTGCCTTGAACTTGCTCTGTAGAGCAGACTGGCACTCAGAGATGCACCTGCCTCTTCCCAGGTGCTAGGATTAAAGGTGTGTGATACCGTGTGCAGCCCATAATAGTGAGTTTCACTTCAACGCTTTCATACATGTATGTAATGTGTTATTGTATTTCCCTCCCATTATTCTGTGTTCTCCTCTTCCCACCCTGGATGATCCCTTCTTTCCAACTAGTCCAATTTCCACTCTCATGGTATGTGTATGTGTGTGGGTGCGTGCGTGTGTGCATGTGTGTGTGTGTGTGTGTGCGTGCGTGCGTGCGTGCGTGCGTGCGTGTCCCAGTGACTTTCATTATAGTCCAGAGCATGGGTCCCTGCTTAACAGGAGCAAGGGCACCTTACCAGTGTTTCCTGCTGAGCCCCTCTCTTCTCCATGACGGGGTCCAACCTTGCACAAGTCTTATGAAGGTAACTGTAGCTGCTGCATGTTCAGGAGTGCAGTAGCCATGGCATGCCCAGAGAAGAGCTTTCCAGAGCACTCTCCCCTCTCCTCCTTGGGCTCTTCTGTCTCCCCCATAGTGTTCCTGAGGAAAGGGTGACGTGGATGCCCCGCTGAAGGCCAAGCGTCCACAGTCACTTGCTTCTTTCCAAACGACCAGTTCTGTGTCTCCAGTTGCTGCCGCCACTGCAACAATAGGCGCCCTGGCCAGCGGTGAGAGCAGCACAGTTTGTGGACGTAAACCCAGCAGTGTAGAAGACAGTTTGATAGGCGCATCATGTCCCCTTGGCAGAACAGCAGCTGCCACTTCCTCACTGGGCCTGTGACTTCCCCAGCTGTGACTTTGCACAGATTTCCAGTTTCAGTTCTCCGTGAATCTTTCTGTTTTCAGAACAAGGTCCAACACAAAGCCACTTCTGTGAGGCCTCTCTCTTAGAACTGGTGGGGGAAGCTGGGCAGTGGTGGCGCCCGCCTTTAATCCCAGCACTTGGGCAGCAGAGGCAGGCGGATCTCCGTGAGTTCGAGACCAGCCTGGTCTACAGAGCAAGTTCCAGGACAGCCCCCAAAGCCATAGAGAAACCCTGTCTCGAAAAACAAACCATCAAAAAATACAAACAAACAAAAAAGATTTGGTGGGCGGGCATTGCTGACACTTCTCCCATGGTGTGGCCCACTTCCTGTGGTCACCAGTTAGTGATGTCAGCACCTAGAAATACTAAATGGCAGGTTCAGGGTGTCACCACAAAAGTGGTGCTGGCCCTCATGACAGATAATCCAGGTCCGGATGGGTTTTCTTCCCTCAAAAGGTGAGGCGTCTTCAGGAATGTCTTTCTTCTCCTGCCTTCAGCTTCTTCATCCAGTAGACAGCCTGCGTCTTTATTGCTGACACTGGCGTCCAGGTAGCTTCCTGCCTGGAGCCCTGGAAGCATGGACAGCCTTCACTGAGTGAGAGTTTGGTGTGGCCCTGCTTCAGGCTTGAGTAGATGCCAGGCAGTGACAGGCGTGAGCTGCGTCCCCGTGTCCCTGCCTCTGCCCAGCTTTGCTATCTGTTCTCTTCACAGATACGACTATGTCACTTCCACTCCGCTCTGCTGCAGAACAGACAGAAGCCCTGGCCATGTCCTGCCATTTTCTTCACGAGGAACTTCAAGAGCTCACTGGCAAGGTGATGACCCCTGCAGCCAAAGGCAGGCCCCTTCCTAGACGAGGAGATGACTGTGTGCGGTCGCAAAGATGGAGAGGCCACACTGCACCTTTAATCGTGTTTCTCTCTTTGGCACTTGAACCTGAGACCGCAGGGTCTCTGACCTGTAATTGGTCACACTCTGGAGATGGCGGCTCCCAACAAGAAGTTTGTGATGAACACACACTGACAAACAGAGGCTCCCATTCCATGAGACACACAGGGATCATTTAGAGATGAAGACTGGGATTGCCTCTATAGGGCGTCACACAACGGGTTAGGACAGCCAGAAGGGTTGTAATGGATGCGTGGTTCTATGAGCAAAGAGAAAGACCCTCTCTCCTGCCCTGCCCTGTCCTGTCCTCCCTCTTCCTCCTCCTCTTCCTTCCTTCCTTCCTTCCTTCCTTTTTGAAACGTGGTTTCTTTGTATACCTCTAGCTGTCCTGGAACTCTGTAGACTAGACTGACCTCAAACTCATACATAAGCACCTGCCTCTGCTTCCTGAGTGCTGGAATTAAAGGTGTGCGCCGCCACCCCTGGCTGGAAGGCCCTTTCTTTGAGTGTGCCATGGCCTAGACAGGAGGCCACGCGTGAGCATGGGACTGTTCCTGCTGCTGCTGCTGCATTATGCATATGTGGATGTTTGCTGTCTCGTGCAATATGGAACTCTGTTCTGTCCTTGCTCTAAGTTCTTGCTCAGTGTGGTTTGTGACTTTATACTACCAGGTCTCACCTTCCATTAGGGTCCTCTGCACCATCATGATGGGGACAGAGATGGCGGTCCACTCTGTAGACTGCGGATCTGTATTGACCTTCCAGGACGGCCGAAGGAGACCTTGTCCTCCAGCATCTGGCTGTTGTGGGGCCTAGGGAAAGGGCCTTGAATGTGCTGGTGTCCTCTGGTGGCCACATGGTCCCATAGACAGACTCAGAGTTGGTCTGCAAAGGCAGGAAAGGGAGAAACTGAGGCCCCAGCTCCCTTGTGAAGAAGCAGCATCTTCCTGTCTCCTCTCAGGACCTCAAGGACCAGGCTGCTGTGGCGGAGGGCGCTCTCTGTCACTGTGGTGGGGGTGCCCTTGCTCCTCGGAGCCCGCTATCTCAGTGCGGAAGCCCAGGAAAAGAGGAAGCTGCGACTTGCCATAGATGGTATCGGGCGCTTCAGCAGGTAGGAGGGTTAAAATGCCAGCCCTGGCACAGCTTGGGTGGGATAGCCTTCTCCATATTCCTCTCCTCCAAGGGTTGTGGGGTTCTGGAACTTTGTAGTTAACATGCAGCCTATGGCCTGAACAGGGAGCAATGTCCCCACAGACTTTTCCAGGTCAGCCATGGCCTTGAGGACAAGGGCTTTAGCCCTGAAAGTAAAGAAGCTTCTCTGCTCTACTCACCCCACCATCCAAGGAGACCTAGAGCTCTGGGCATGGAGGCTTGGCCCTGGGTGGAGCTGCCACCTCATCCTAGCACCATGGGGGAGGGAGGGGTTTTCCAAGTGCCTTCCCCTCCCGGGGTGGGAACTCTTGCAGCTGCCCGCCCAGCCTCGTTGACTTTGTTAGTGAAGAAAGTGTCTTAACTTGAATGGCTCTGAACTGTAGAGATCACGTTGCCATGGTACAGGAAGTATCTTGCTCCATGTAACTCTAAGCACAATTCCTCCTCAAGAAGGCTTTGGTTCCAAGGTCCTTAGGCTTTTCATAAGAAATGTCACCATAGCTGGGCAGTGGTGCACACGCCTTTAATCCCAGCACTCAGGAGGCAGAGGCAGATGGATCTCTGTGAGTTCAAGTTCTACATTGCAAGTTCCAGGATAGCCAGGACTGTTACATAGAGAAGTCGAGAGAGAGAGAGAGAGAGAGAGGGAGGGAGGGAGGGAGGGAGGGAGGGAGGGAGGGAGGGAGGGAGGGAGGGAGGGAGGGAGGGAGGGAAGGAGGGAGGGAGGGAGGGAGGGGAGAGATGGGGGAGGAAATGTCCCTGATTAGTCCATGGCATGTCTGTCTGTGGTTGGATACCTGTTTCCATTTGAGGCTCTCCATACCTGTCCTTCTGGTTGGTTTTGCCTGGAGCTCTGAGGCATCCCTATTGAAAGGCTGAACAATGCCCCCTGTGTTCTGTGGGCCCCAGGACTAGTGAGAACAGAGCCTAGTATTCTTACTGTGTTTCTCTGGCTGTCATCAACACTGCAGAGGCCTTGCAGGTTTCTGGCAACTGCCTTGTGCAGCTCACCCTGACTAATGGGAAAGAGGCTTCTCAGCTCACAGCTAGGGGCCATGCTGGCCTGTGACCAGGTGATGGGGACACATTCAGACATCCGTTTCCCTGGGTCTGTGGGTTCACTGCACCTCCTGGCCTCTCTTTTCTTTCTTATTTTTGTCTTTTTGGTTTTTCAAGACAGGGTTTCTCTGTGTAGCCTTGGCTGTCCTGGAACTATCTCTGTACACCAGGCTGACTTCTCAGAGATCCGCCTGCCTCTGCCTCCCGTGTGCTGGGATTAAAGTGTGTGCCACCACTGCCCAGTCAACATTTTGTTTTTGAGACAAGGTTTTACTATATAGCCTTGGCTGGCCTAGAACTTGTAAAGTAGACCAGGCTGGCCTCATATTTACAAAGGCTCCCCTGCCTCTGTTTCTCAGGTCCCGGGCTTAAAGGGATGCACTACTACACCATTTTTTTTTTATAACTTTGAGACAGGTATTGCTAAATAACTTACAGACCTTGTACTCCTCTTACTTCAGGAGTACTTGGAATTTGAAGTAAGCTGCCAACAGTCCTACTTCCTTTTCTGTGTTGACGTTATTTCAAATATCTGAAAATGACTGAGTGTGGTGGCGCACACCTCTAATCCCAGCACTCACAAGGCAGAACAATCAGATTTCTTGTGTTTGATGCCCGTCTGCCCGACACAGTGAGCTTCAAACCAGTCAGGTGTGTAACTAAAACCTTGTCTCAAAACAAACAAATGAAGTATCAGAAAAGCTGAAAGAATAATAAAAAACATTTTATCTTAAGTATCTGAGAATAAGCTGTTAGTGTGCTCCATTATCTCACTGTAATGTCTTAGGGCATCCTTGATGTAAACAAGGATGTTCTTTTATATAGCCAAGTAAAAACGGATAATTACCAGGAATGGTGGTACATACCTGTAGTTCTAGCATTCAGGGCTCAGAAAGATTATGAATTTTTTCCTTTGATTTTTTTTTTTTTGAGACAGGGTCCCACTATATAGTCCTGGATGACCTGAAACTCTCAGTGTAGACCTGTCTGGTCTTAAACTCACAGAGATCCACTTGGAGCAGTTATTGTCTAGTCTTATTTGGCATGGGTTTGCCCGATGTGTCCTCCAGTCAAGTCTGGCTGGCCACTGTAGGTACTGATCTTTTAACTGGGACAACACAGAAGTAGTGTGTTCAGTGCTCTCCTGTGCCCAGCCTAGTGGCACATGACCTCAGTTTGTTCAGTAAATCTAGTATTTCTTTGCTGTCACTGATCACTATTTAACAGAATGCCTTGTGATGACGTCTGGTTCAGCATCTTACTCTTGGTTTCCACCGATACTTTGTGAGTGAATTATTGATAGTGAGTTTTCTAATTTAGCCATTCTTTTCAACATTAACTGTTTGGCATCTTCCTGCAAAGAAGTCTCCCTAGCCAGGCAGTATTGGTGGTGGCACACACTTTTTTTTTTCTTTTTTCTTTTTTTTTTTTTTTTTTTTTTTTTGGTTTTTCGAGACAGGGTTTCCCTGTGGCTTTGGAGGCTGTCCTGGAACTCGCTTGGTAGACCAGGCTGGTCTCGAACTCACAGTGATCCGCCTGCCTCTGCCTCCCGAGTGCTGGGATTAAAGGCGTGCGCCACCAACGCCCGGCCAGGTGGCACACACTTTTAATCCCAGCACTCGGGAGACAGAGGTGACAGACCTCTGAGTTCAAGGCCAGCCTGGTCTACAGAGTGAGTTCCAGGACAGCCAGGGCTACATAGAGAAACCCTGTCTGGAAAAACAAAAACAAAACAAAGTTTCCCTTCTACCATTTACAAACTCATTAGTTGATTCACACCTCCGAACTTAGAGATACCTTTTTTTTTTTTTTTTTTTTTTTTTTTTGGTTTTTCGAGACAGGGTTTCTCTGTAGCTTTGGAGGCTGTCCTGGAACTCACTTTGTAGACCAGGCTGGCCTCGAACTCACAGAGATCCGCCTGCCTCTGCCTCCCGAGTGCTGGGATTAAAGGTGAGTGCCACCAACGCCCGGCTTTTTTTTTTGGTTTTTCGAGACAGGGTTTATCTGTGGCTTTGGAGGCTGTCCTGGAACTCGCTCTGTAGACCAGGCTGGCCTCGAACTCACAGAGATCCACCTGCCTCTGCCTCCCAAGTGCTGTAGAGATACCTATTTTATTCAGTCTGTCCCCTATGTTATTTTGTTGTAAAGACTGCTTCAGATTGGACTCAGCAGAGTCCCTTCAACCTGGTTTTGTTGCCCCTTCCAAGCCTGTTCATCTCGGCTTTATCACGTGTCTGCGTCAAGTGTCCACACCCAGATGTCACCATTAGCCTTTCCACTCCCCCTTTTGGAGTTTTTGGCTTTTCCTGGTAGTAGTCGTACACTGTATGGGACATTATACACCAGACTCATACTGGTCTTTCCCTGATCAGCTTTGGAGTCAGCTTTTCCCTTAGGGGCTGGCTACTTGTGTTATGCCCAGATCACAAAGACCCCCAAATCCCACCCGACGAAAGACTTTCCTGAGCTGCAAAAAGCAAGGTTTTTATTGTATGCAAGCCGTCAGGGACCTCTACTGGAATACTGATGCAACAGCCACCAGAGGGTGAGGGGTTAGCCAGGCTCATTAGTGGGTGAGGTCCAGTTCTGATTGGCTGACATTTAGCAGGGTCAGAGGAATACATATTTTTTGGCAGTACAACCTGTTATTTTACGTATTTTAATTGGTTGTCATGGGGAGTGAATATTCTATGGTTTCAGAATTGCACCGTGACCTTTCCAGTTTTCTCGAAAGTGGTCTGTTTTTTGTTTTTAATTCCTTGAAACAGTAGAGCAACCCTACCTTGGAAGTCAAGGTAGGGTTGCTCTACTCTGGAAAAGTTGCTGAGGTTTATCTAATTTGGTTTTTGTTGTTTTGTTGTTTTTGGTTTTGTTTTGTTTTTTGAGACAGGGTTTCTCTGTGTAGCTTTTGAGCCTGTCCTGGAAGTAAGTAGCTCTTGTAGACCAGGCTGGTCTGGAACTCACAGAGATCCAAGTGCTGGGATTAAAGGTGTGCGCCATCACCTCCCAGCTTCTAATTGATTTTTAACTCTTTCACTTGCAATGGAGATGAGAGCAGGGGCTGTGCTATGCATGCACACTTCTCACATTGACAAGACGAGCTCCAGCCCTGAATAACAGATACTGGAGTTCAAATGGGCATCCCTATCTCAGTCAGTCTTGTTTCCTCCCTTTGTGGTTGACATTCCCAGCCTTCGGTGTCTGTCCTTACGTTGAAGCACTAAAGGGCCCGCTTTGCCCAGAGAAGGCCGTTGTTCCCTGAAGCATGAGGGAGCTCAGAGCTCATTGGTTTCTTTGTCATTGTCAGGGGCGCACTCTACAGTGCAGGCTGCTGCTGGCCTTCCCTGTGCTGCCGGATGTGTGGGAGGGGCTAGTGTGTGGGCATGGGGGTGGAGGGGGTCTTAGCAGGTTCAGGGTATGTGCTGGCGTCTTTCCTGCTTCCTCCTGTGGAAGGAAGTGGCATCTCAGAGAGGTCCCTTTATGTCAGCTCAGAGACCTGCCACCTTTTTAGTTAGGGGCCTTCCTGTGGTGGAAGAGCCGGAAGTAGGACCCTATTTAGGTTAAGGCCATCCAAAGGGACTTGGCTTTGTGTCCTCCTACCCCTCAGCTGGAGCCCTAAGCCCTCCTCCAGATCAAGGCAGCCCCTCCTAGTCTGCAGATGAAGGAGGTGGGACTCTCCTAGAGTAGTGTAACCTAGCTTCTCTGGCTTTTGTTCCTATTTGTTTATTATTTATTAAGCATACATAATATGTGTAAGGGGGAATGTCAGCCCCTTACACAAGAAGAGGGCATCAGATCCCACTGTAGATGTTTGTGAGCCACCATGTGGTTGCTGGGAGCTAAATTCAGGGCGTCTGGGAGAGCAGCCAGTGCTCTTAACTGCTGTGCCATCTCTCCAGCCCCATACTTCTTAATGATTTATTTATGTTTATTTTGTGTGCAACTGTGTTTTGCCTGCATGTATGTCTGTGTGAGGGTGTTAGATCCCCTGGAACTGGAATTACAAGCAGTTATGAGCTGCCATGTGGGTACTGGGAATTGAACCTAGGTCCTTTAGAAGAGCAGCCAGGTCTCTTGACCACTGAGCCATCTCTCTGGTTCTTTTTTTTTTTTTTTTTTAAATCCCAAGACAGGGCTTCTCTGTATAGTCCAGACTGGCCTTGACTCGCAGAAATCCAACTGTCTCAGCCTCTGCTGGGATTAAAAGTGTGCATCACCACCACCTGGCTCTTTTCTGGTTATTAGAGAACTTTTTTCTTCCTCCCTTTTGCAAGTGACCTTCCTGGGACCATGATGCTTCCTCTGCCCACAGCCCTCATCCCTCCCCCACTGGCACAGGGCAGTCTGTCTGGGCAGCCTCAGGATACTGGCATGAGTAGTATTCCATGAGCTTATAAGGACCCACTTTACTAGAGGCTGAACCCAGTCCAGCCTCACCTTAAGTACAGGGGCTGATAGGTGAGGCCAGACTTTGGGCTTAGGGCAGAAGGACCCCCAGGAACCAACACTCCCCAGCCTGCCTGGGACTTAAGCTGCTTCTGCCTGCAGGTCTTTGAAGGTCGGTCTGCTCATCTCCCTGGACTATTGGTGGTGTACAAATGTTCTCCTACGAGGAGTGGAGGAGGTTTGTCCTCATATCCTGAGCACATGGCAGGGAGGGGAGATGCTGGAGGTAGGGGGTGCTGGGGGCATCAGGGAGTGGCCACCTGTCCCCAGCCTTTCCTCCATGCCTGTGGTCAGAACAGCCCGAGGTATGTGGAGGTGATGTCTTCATGTCACCAGCGTGCGGCTGACGCCCTGGTGGCAGGAGCCATCCGCAATGGGGGCCTCTATGTGAAACTGGGCCAAGGACTGTGCTCCTTCAACCACCTGCTGCCATCCGAGTACATCCAGACGCTGCGTGTGCTGGAGGACAGGGCTCTCACTCGGGGCTTCCGAGAGGTGAGCCCCCCTCATGGGGTGGAGGGAAGAGGATGTTGCCCCAGCAGCGCTGGCAGTGACTCCAAGCATGTTCTTGACAGGTGGATGAGCTGTTCCTTGAAGACTTCCAGGCACTGCCTACTGAACTCTTCCAGGAGTTTGAGTATGAGCCGATGGCTGCTGCAAGCCTAGCTCAGGTGCACCGTGCCAAGCTACATGATGGTACTGCTGTGGCCGTGAAGGTATCTATGCGGCCGCACTCTAGATGGACCCTGGGCCAGTGGTAACCATGGGTTTCAGTGTACCCTGGCCCACTGCAGGTACAGTACATCGACCTACGAGACCGCTTTGATGGGGACGTGCACACCCTGGAACTCCTGCTGCAGCTCGTGGAGCTCATGCACCCCAGCTTTGGCTTCAGCTGGGTCCTACAGGTAGTGCACCCATAACAGGTGGGGGTAAGCGCTAAACCCCGATGGGACTGACCGGCCCATGCATCACCTCCAGGACCTGAAGGGGACCCTGTCCCAGGAGCTGGACTTCGAGAATGAGGGCCGAAATGCTGAGCGCTGTGCTCAGGAGCTTAAGCACTTCCGTTATATCGTTGTCCCTCGGGTGCACTGGGACAAGTCCAGCAAGGTGGGCTGGGTAGAGCTTTCCCTGAGGGTGGGGCAACACACGCTGCTGAGCTCACTCAGTCTCTTGCTCTCCCAGCGGGTGCTGACAGCTGACTTCTGTGAGGGCTGTAAAGTGAATGACATGGAGGCCATCAAGAGACAGGGACTGGCGGTGCAGGACGTGAGTACCGTGTGTTGGGGCAGGGCACGGGATGCTGGGGCATGGTTGCTGTCATGTATTCCCTGTGTACTCCCTAGGTAGCAAAGAAGCTGATTCAGGCTTTTGCTGAACAGATATTCTACACTGGCTTCATTCACTCTGACCCCCACCCTGGAAATGGTAGGAAAGGCCCCAGGGTGGGATCTTAGAGGGGTGGCTTGAGCTGATATGCTGTGTTCCTAGTTCTGGTGCGGAAAGGTCCAGATGGAAAAGCAGAGCTGGTAATCCTGGACCATGGTCTCTACCAGTTCCTGGATGAGAAGTGAGCTGGGGCCAGGCATGGGGGGCAGGGCAGGCCTTCCTGGGGCCCCTTCTCCTGCAGCTTCGAGCTCAGTTAGGCCTTCCTGCAGGGACCGGTCCTCCCTGTGCCAGCTGTGGCGGGCCATCATCCTGAGGGACAATGCCGCAATGAAGACACACGCAGCTGCTCTTGGGGTGCAAGGTAAGGGTGGGTGTTTGTGGGACAGGCAGAAGCCTGCAACTATGCACCAAAAAGCAACTCGTGCCTTCCCCAGACTACATGCTGTTCTCTGAGGTGCTCATGCAGCGACCTGTGCGCCTGGGCCAGCTGTGGGGCTCCCACCTGATGAGCCGTGAGGAGGCGGTCTACATGCAGGACATGGCTCGCGAACACTTTGAAGGCATAATGGAAGTACTCAAGGCGCTGCCACGGCCCATGCTGCTTGTGCTGCGAAACATCAACACAGTGCGTGCCATCAACTCAGCGTTGGGCACCCCTGTTGACCGCTACTTCCTCATGGCCAAGAGGTTGGTGACCCAAGGGGAAGCCTGAAGGGGCTGCAGCAGGTTAGCAGGCTAATACATGTATCTGCTACAGCGCTGTCTGGGGTTGGAGCCGCCTGGTGGGCGCGGCATACCAGGGCATTTACAGCAGCAGCCTCGTGCGCCACATCAAGGTCATCTGGGAGTCATTCAAGTTTGAAGTGGTCCTGAGGTAAGCATGTGGGCTGGATGGGTGGCTGACCAGAATCTGCTCCCCATCAACTTATGACCCTTCACCCTGCCCCTCTAGGCTGGAGACCCTTGCCATGCGGCTCACCGCCCTCCTGTTTCGTGTTCTGGCCCGCCTGGGTTTTGTCCCCAAAGCTGAGGAAGTCTACCAGTACCTGGAGATGTAGGTGCCTGAGCCAGAAGGACTGCAAGGCTGCCAGGGGCCAGCAGATCTTCCAGCCTGGGCACACTGAGCAGGCCCCAGTGTACACACCTTACAACCCAGGACCTGGAATGGGGAATACACTATGGGGCTCTTAAACACAATGACCACACACTTGTCTGAAAGAAATCGTTTTTTCTTTTATACAAAATGGGTAGAGAAGTGTACAATGGCAGGGTGGTATCAGGGTTAGAAGTGAGCAGTGACACGGTCTGTCTCCAGCAGGTCATCCAGGATCTGTGGGATGATGTAAAGGTGTGAGTGGGTAGGACAGGTGAGGCAGACGGGCTCCGGTGAGAGAGGTGGTACTCACAATGTCAGGTGTGGTCCCTATCTTCTTGGCCAGCTCACTGCGCTCCATGGTGCTCAGGTACAGGTAGCGGTTTAGCAGCTCTCCATCGAGGACATTGCGCACGGCATTCTGCAGGATGCGCCGATCGACATGCAGCATTCTGGGGTAGTGGACATAAGGGAGTCAGAGCATATGTGGGGTACAGGGAGAGACCCGGGAAGGGGCACACTCACCGGAAGGCACGGGGGTTGAGGCCAGCGTGGTGGGGTAGCATGGTTGTCAGTGCGTTCTGCAGCATCAGCAGTCGGCGGTATGTCTTCTCTTGCATGGGCAGCAGGAGCCCAATGCCACCGTCCAGGGTGGCTGAGGAGACGCTATGTGAGCCAGGCTGAGCCTCCCATCCCTAGGTACCCCTAGCCCAGTACTCACCAAACCACGTGATGTGCTTGTTTTCCCACACGACCGACTTCTTGCTGGGCCCCTCAGCAGCCCCTCGGCATGGGGTCCTCCAGAATGTGTTCACATGGGCACCCACATGGAAGTCTGCTCGGCGCAGCAGGCGCATGCCCCCAAAACTCTCTTTGGCTGGGCACAGGAACTCAAGTCAAGACCTGCCCACTGCCTGGTCCCCAGCCCAAGGAGAGGCCGGAGAGGAATCACTCACCTTCTGGCAGATACATATACACCATAAGATTGCGGTCCCGGTCAGACACTGATGGACAGAGACTCAGAGTCAGCCTCAGCTCTCCACACCCCACTAGTGTAGCCTCCCAAGGACCCACAAACTCACCTAAGAAGCCCAGCTGGGCATTGTCCACCATGAAATCCACGCTGTATACCTCCAAAGGCTTGGCATCCTGGGAAAGGGAGAAGGCAGTGTTGGAGCAGGCACTGGACTGGCGCCCACCTGCACACCGGTCCCTGTGCGTACCCGGGACACCAGGCTCAGGGTCTTGCTCTCCTCCTGGTAGCGCAGCAGTGAGATGCTCTTCATGACGTCTGCTGCCAGGATGAAGTTCTTGACACTGATCATTTGGTGGATGTAGAGCTGGGTGTCGATGAAGGCCATGCCCGTCAGCTCGCTGGCCCGCAGGCTCCACAGGAAGATCTAAAGGGCAGGAGATGGTGAGCAGCGCAGGGTTAGAGGTCACACAGCTGCACAGGAGGGAAGGGAAGGACACGAATAAACAACACACTTTTTGGCCGATGGCTGACACCAGGTGGCCATTGCAGTGGCACAGCGCAGTCACGGGCCCCTTCTGCTCCTTCTCATACAGGACCTTGAACTTGTTCTTAGTCAGAGGCTGCCCAGGCTCAGGGACCACTTCGATCACATCCATGATCAGGATCTGGAAGGGAAAGGGAATGCATGGAGGTGGCAGATTGTCTGCTGGGGGCTGCCTGCCCCCCACCCAAAGGCCCTTACCCGCCCACGGCATGTGACTTCTTCCCCCTGCATGAGGCAAGTCCCAGCAGCCACATAGCCCTTTAGGCCTGAAACGGTCTCCTCACTGCGCAGTGACACCGTCTTCATGCACGTGACATGCTCCCACTCCTCCAGCTCGATCCTGCACGAAGCCAAGCTTCATTAGGACTCGCCACCTCCAAGCTGTCACCAAAGGGCAGCCCCTGGCAGGCCCACCCTCACCTGGCATTGGGAATGGCCTCCCAGCTGACTGGGGAGATGAGCTGGATGGAGAAGGCTTCTTGCTGGGGGTGGATGTATCTCTCATCTGCTGGGACAAGGAAAATGAGTTAGTCACCCTGTAGACAGCGCAGCCAGGCTCTGGCCACCCTACCCTCAAGTGTTGCATACCTCTTTCAATAGCCTCAAATTCCTTTTCCTCACCAGTCATGCGTGGGATTCGAGTGCAAGGTGTGTTGGTGCTGGTGGCCACAGCATACACCTGGGTGTTAAGAGGGTGTCAAATGCCAGAGGCCAGGCTAGAAGGTGTCTGGGGGATGTGGGACAGGGACAGACCTTGGACTCTACATGGTAGGCCACGTAGTGGGCTGTGCAGCGCAACGGGATCTTCCTGACGGGCCATGGAGCATCATAGGACAGGTATGCAGGCAGGACACTGATCCTCAGTTCACCCTAGGGTGCAGCGGGCAGCAAAGTCAGTTTGCTCTGGGGTGGACAAGGGCAGGGCCAATGAACTTAGACTTCCCCAAATGTTCTCTAGTTCTGTGGTCATGGGATATCAGGTCTGCTGTGTTGGGCAGTTGCCTGGAGAGGCTAAAGCTTTGGCAGCCTGACTGTCTAGGGTCGCTTCATGTTGGTGGACAGTAGTGCAGGACATGGGAAGGCCAGGGCCAGAGGACCCCACGGACTGGACACGATTGTAACTCCAACAATAAACAGACAAAGGAGCCAATGTCCGTGATCCAGGCCACCCTTCACCAGCAATTCTGTGTCACTAGCCCCTGGAAAACACCCGCCATCAGGGTCTTAATCCCTGCTATCGTCTGAATGGCACAGATGGTTAAACAGGCTCAGGCAAAGAGGCAAAACAAAAGGTAAAGACAGCTTGGGGCGGGAGAGATGGCTCAGAGGTTAAGAGCACTGGCTGCTCTTCCAGAGGTCCTGAGTTCAATTCCCAGCAACCACATGGTGGTTCACAACCATTTGGAACGGAGATCTGGTGCCCTCTTCTGGCATGCAGGCAGAACACTGTATACTTAATAATAAATAAAATAATAATAATAAAAAAAAGACAGCTCAGCCTGGCTCTTGGACCAAGACTTGAGGCTACACCAGAGCAGTCATTTCCAGCGTGTTCCTAAAGTGCAGGCAGGTAAATCTCACTGCGCAGCCCTCCACACCCCATCTGTCCCACCTCAATCTTCCCAGGGTTAGCTCAGAGTTGAATCGCTTAGCCCCAAGTTTCCACTGTCTTGGCCCTCTGCTCCCACAGCTGGTCTGGCCTAGGCTAAGCCTCCTCACCTGTCTGTTGAAGTACAGGAAGCCACGGGGGCAGTTCACATTGTGGAATGGCGCAAAGGAGTCAATGGGGCCATCGATGCCCATGGGATGTAGACGCAAAGCTCCACGGCCAGTCACCAGCAGCCAGTGAGGTGAGGGCCCACAGATGAAGACCTGGAGGCAGACACTTCTGAGTGCGGTGTGAGGGAGGCACTGTCCTCAAAGCCAGGCCCTCGCCCAAGCCACTTGCCTACCCCTGAATAGCCATAAATGTCCTCGAAGTAGCGGAAACGGGCCACACGGCCCCGGACTCCAGATCCCTCCTCGGTACTGCAACCTTCTGCCTTCTTCTTAGATGGCTTTGGCTTCTTTTCACGGAAGTTGATATTGTGAGGGACCTGGCAGAGGCCACAGTGAGTGCTATGCCCTGTGGCCTGACCTTCCAATCTACCCCGTGCCCAAGCAGGGTATGGCCATTGGCACCTTCTTGAAGCGGACTTTGAGATTTCCCTGGCCGAGCTGAGAGTCGTGGGGGAAGGCTTCATAGATAAGCAGCTCCTGGTCCACGTGCACCTGGGGTCCAAGCAGGGACAGTGAAGGTAGGGAGCGGAAGGACATGAGGGTGTGGCAGGGCCTTGGGAGGCAGGTGGCAAGGAGCTTACCAGCAGGTAAGGCCTGCTCTGCCGACTTCCCAGAGCAACCAACAACACCTCCTTGACCAAAGGCAGCTCCCCCTGGCGCGTGGCCTCTTCCTTTCGGACTTCACCTTGTGTAGTGGGCTGTCCAAAAGAACTGTCCACCAGGACCCGCTGGCCCACAGGGAAGTTCTTAACTAGGAATACCAGCCGCCAGTCTGGGAGCTGGTAGATCTGGAGAGAGGACACTGGTTAAGAGCGGAAGCAAAGGCTGTTGAGCTGTGGTTCTGTTGTGTGTGTAACGCACCTACCTCCATGGTGCCGTTCTCCCGCACGAGCAGGCACCAGTGGGTGGGGTCCACCCTGAAGGGTGCAGGGTCACGGTCAGCCGGGGGCTGGTTGCTCCTGCGGGCCTCCTCTTTGCTGGGACTGAAGAGCGAGCTGGAGTCTCCATAGAGCATCTCTTCCTCATCGTCCACCGTGGGGCTGGGGACCAATAGATAGACCCATCACAGCCTGCCGTGGGGACGCCAGCACACACATACCAGTCCCTACGCACCTTGTCTCTGAGCCCAGACCTTCAGCCTCTGAGCCACTTCGGCCCCCAAGTTCATCACGGGCCCCACCCAGACGGCTCTCGGTGGTGAACATGCCACTGACATCACGGTACAGGCAGAGGGCAATCACCTTCGACTGCTGTAGGAAACGGGATGGGGTTCAGACAGGAGCAGGGCGGGCGGCGGGAAGATAGAGGCGTCAGGGGTAGGCAGAGGCGTCAGGGGTAGGCAGAGGCGTCAAGGGTAGGGAGCCTACATGATGCAGGGGAGGCTTGTGTAGTGCCAGGCGGTGGTGGCGGCCACCATATGAATCATTCTTGAGCAGGAACATGGTAACGTGGCCCTCAGCACTCATGATGACCACATAGGGATCAGCCACAGCACACTGCACAATGGGGGCACCCAGGTCCACAGGGATGAAGTGGAGTTGATTCACTGTGGACACAGGTCATTAGGGTGAGGTGGCCAAGTCCATACCACCTCAAGACCCATTCACACAGAGCTACCTTTCATACATACCGCCTTCCAACAGGCGAATGCCCAGTGGTGAGACTTGGACAATGTAGCGATTGTCCCCAATGTTTCCGGCAAAGACTGTGGGGCCCTGTGTGGCAAAGCCACTAGTGTCCAGCTCCATGATCTCCTGTCCAGTCTGTAGGATCTACGGTGACAGTGGTGAGTGGTGCCCTTCCCCAGGGGACC